AATAGAATAGAATTCTTTATTGGCCAAGTGTGATTGGACACCAAGGAATTTGTCTTTGGGTACATAAGCTCTCAGCGCACATAAGGATAAAATAAAATAAAATAAAATACATTCATCAAGAATAATAAGATAAAACACTTAGTGATAGTCATAGGTTACTAATAAGCAGTCAAATCATACTAGAGAACAAATAATATAAATCATAAAGATACAAGTGACACGATTATAGTCATAAGTTGGAAAAGATAGAGAATAGGAAGGATGAGAAGAATGATAGTAATAGTAGTGCAGACTTAGCAAATAGTTGGACAGTATGGAGGGAATTATTTGTTTAGCAGAGGGATGGTGTGCAGGAAAAAAACTCCCCTTGTGTCTAGTTGTTCTGGTGTGCAGGGCTCTATATAGTGTCTTTTTGAAGGAAGGAGTTGAAACAGTTTATGTCCAGGATGTGAGGGGTCTGTAAATACTTTCACAACCCCCTTTTTGACTCATGCAGGATGCAGGTCCTCCAAGGAAGGCAGGTTGGTAGCCACGGTTATTTCTGCAGTCATTCAGTTCATTCATTCAATTCATTCAGCTCTATTCTGATTCCGATTCCCTCAATGGTCTTGACAAACAAGGCCATAAAATCACGTATGACTCACTCAACAACTCAGCTGCTTAACAATAGAAATTGTGGTCCCAATTCTGGCTGTAAACCAAGGATTACCTGCACCAGCGGGCTCTTTAACATCAGCTCGGGGGGTTCACACAGCCTCCTGAGCCGAGGATGGCTGGGCAGGGCTGGCTTTGAAGTCTGGACCGAGTTTATTGCCTGCGATGTCTGCAGAGCGGATCCGAGCAGCTCCTGGAAGATTAAGGACGCTGACCTTTGCAGGCCTCCCAGATTAAAGTAATCCAATTGCGGCACCAGCAAAGCAGACTTAATTCGCTTTACAGGCCTGTCGTCCTGTTTTCCGGATCCACACGGTTTCCTGAGTCAGGGCCCAGGCAAACGGGAGGCCCAGCAGCACCTTATGCTAAATAAAGACAGGAAAACTAAGCCACCCTCTCCCCGTTTTGTGTGAACGCACCTGAGAGGGTTTTCTCTGAGCCAGCTAACCATGCTGTGTGAAGGTAACCAGGTAAATGCTCTGCAGTCCAGATGCAGATTGGTTAACAATTTAATTTCACAAAGAAAAAGAAATCTCCTGACAGTGAAAACTCTTAGCTAGTGGGATGGCTTCTCTCCAGAACTGGTGGGTGCTCCATCTCTGAGAAGAGCCTGGACAGCTATTTGTCTGAAATGGGATAGGGCGTCCTGCTTGAGCACGGGGTTGGACTAGAAGACCTCTAAGGTCCCTTTCAACTCTGCTATTCTGTTAACTAATCATAGGAACAGCTGGCCTTCCGAAGTTGTGGGTGCTCCATTGCCGGAGGCTTTTAAGAAGAGATTGGACACCCATTTGTCTGGAATGGTACTATAGGGCGTCCTGCCTGAGCAGGGGTTGGACTAGAAGACCTCCAAGGTCCCTTCCCACTCTGTTGATCTCTGATCTTCTGTTGATCTCTGAAAACCTGGAAACAGTCCCCATATTTTCAGCTTAGTCCTCCACATTGTTTCCCCAAACTTCCCGAATTCCACCATGATCTTTCTCGCTTTCTTGGGCATCTGAGAGAGATGGGGAGTTAAGAAATAGGAAGCATGGATAAACATTTAACAAATTCATTCTCCTGCAGCCGGCCTGCCGGCTGGTTCTGTACCGGCAGCCCTTCCGAAACCAAACCAGGTACCTGAACCTTCTTTAGAACTGGGGGGTCCAACCGTGGCAACTTTAAGCCTGGCGGACTTCAACTCCCAGAATTCCCCAGCCAGCAAAGCTTCCGCTGCTTGGAGGGGTGTAGTAGAGAGCCCAAGGACACGGGTGGAACTTAGGATGTTCACTACTTGGAGGAGATGCAGGAAGGAGTAAAGGTTTCTTGGCCCAGCGATTGTGCCGGCATCGCTCAGGTGGCTTCTGACAACCCGGTGGGCACCTGGGCTGTTTTTCTGTCTGCCTTCATTGAGCCGACAGCCTCGAATGCAGAACTTAAATCCAGGGTTTGCAGTACTCACCCTGGGGAGGGGGTATTTTACTACTTGCCAGAAGAAATGTGTGGACTTTGTCCTGCGCTTGGCTTTGGGGCACGCAGGGGATTTTTACCGTCAATCCTGCCCCTCTGGATTGGGAGCCTTCTGGTCAGAGGCAGGGTCTTCGATCCCAGTCAAAACGGGGGCCTGGCCGGTGAATTGGATCTGTGCCGTTTGCCAGGGCTGGATTGTATTCAGCACACCTGATGGATGGCGGCCTGACCCCTGTGTGAGAGATGGGGTGTGGCTGTAGCCAGGAAAGATAATGTTTTACATGTTTATATTGTTTTGTTTTTAACATTTTATTTGTACGGTGCTCAAAGTCTCTCTAGAAGGGTGGGGGAGAGAGAAAGGAGAGAGAGATGGTAAGAGAGAGAGAGAGTTAGAAAGAAAAGAAAAGAAAGAAAGAAAGAAAGAAAGAAAGAAAGAAAGAAAGAAAGAAAGAAAGAAAGAAAGAAAGATAGATAGATAGATAGATAGATTAAAGAGACAGAGAAAGATGATAGAGAGAGATGATGGAAGGATAGAGGGATAAATGAGAGAGAGATGAGAAAGAGAAAGATACAGAGAGATGATAGAGATGGATGGATGGATGGATGGACGGACGGACAGACAGACAGACAGACAGACAGACAGACAGATGGTAGATACCATAGATAGATAGATGACAGACAGACAGACAGACAGACAGACAGATAGATTAAAGAGACAGAGAAAGATGATAGTAGAGAGAGATGATGGAAGGATAGAGGGATAAATGAGAGATTAGATGAGAGAGAGAGAGATACAGATAGATGATAGAGATGGATGGATAGATAGATAGATAGATAAGAAGATAAGATAGATAGATAGATAGATAGATAGATAGATAGATAGATAGATAGATAGATAGATAGATAGATAGATAGATAGATAGATATTAGATAGATACATAGAGAGATTAGATAGACAGATAGGTAAATAGAGATAGATTAAAGAAAGAAAGAGAGAGAGAGAGAGAGAGAGAGACCTGCAGGGCTTTGCCCGGCTGCGGGGAGGAGAGAAGCGCTGCCTGCCAAGCGTCGCCTCCGCCCCAGCCGGGGAGAAATCGCGCCTCGCTCGAAGCGCGCGGGAGGCCGGGGAAGTTTGGCTGCTGCCTTCCGAAGGGCGGGGGGGGGGGGGGGGACGCGGGGGGGGCCGCTCAGTGCCAGCCCGCCCGACCTCCGCCCTCCTCCCGCCCGCAGAGACGCCCCCGGCTCCTCCCCGCCAGCGCCGGAGGGCAGAAGCCGGGCAGCGGCGGCGGCGGTTGGCGGCATTTGGCGGCGCCGGGACGGGAGAGCGAGCGAGCGAGAGCGCCGTTGCTTCGCCGTCGGCTGCCCGGCTGGTGGGGCTGCCTTCCCCCCGGGAGCCAGCGCAGCCCCGCCGCCGCTGCGGAGTCCCCGGCCGAGGCTCGATCGGCGGGCAGCGCCCCTCGCCCTGCTGCGGGCGTCGCGGAGCGGAGGCGGCCGGGCGCTTGGGGGACGGCCGGGGCAGCAGCAGCAGCAGCAGCAGCCCGCGGGGAGGAGAGCCGCCCCGTCCGCGGGGCGCGGGCCATGGAGAGCCTGGGCGGCCGGCGCCGGAGCAGCCGCAGCTGAAGGTACCGGCGGGGACGGCCGGAGCTTCCCGGGGATGGGCGGGCGAGCAGCCCCGACGGGGGTCCCGCGGAGGAAGAGGAGGAGGAGGAGGCGGGGGGGCGCAAAAGGGGTCGCTTCCCCTTGAGGGGGGGGGGGGGGCGCCCGTCGCCCCCCCGGGGACCGGCGGGGGGGGGGGGGGGGGGGGGAGGCGACCCCCCCCCCCCAACCTCGGGGCTCCTGCGCCAAGGGGCGCCCTCCAGGTGCGGGACCCGGGCCCTGCGCCCCTCTCGCCGGGGGCTGCCCGGGGTGGGGGGGCTCAGCTGCGAGGCTTTTCCCGGCTCGGATCCGGCTCCTGGGGAAAGCGGGCCGAAGGGGCGGAAGAGAGACGGGATGCGCTGGACGGGGCGGTCGGGGCTGCCTTACGGGGACTCGCGGCTCCTGCACTGCCCGGCGCTTCGCGGACGAGCCGCCTCGCTTCCTTTTGGGCCGTGGGCTGGCTTCTCCCGTCGGGGTCCCGCTTGGGACGTCGGGCTGGCTCGGGGAGCAAGTGGACCCTCCCGTCTCTTTTGCTTTAAGCGGGGAGCAAAGTTGACTAGACGACCACCTTCCTTCCCGCTCAATCTCTCCTTTCCCTCTTTTCCTCCCTTCCTTTCTTTTCCTCCCTCCTTCCCTCCCTCCTTTCCTTCTTCCTCTCCCCTCCTTCCCTCCCTCTCCCCTCCCCTCTCTTTCCATTCATTCTTCTCTAGCCTTCCCTGTTTTCCTTCCTTTTTTCACTCCCCCTCCCTTCTCTCTTTCCCTTCTCCCTCCCTCCCTCTTCCTTCCTTCCTTCCTTCCTTCCTTCCTTCCTTCCCTTCCCTTCCCTTCCCTTCCTTCCTTCCTTCCCTCCCTCCCTCTCTCCCTTCCCTTCCTTCCCTTCCTTTCCTTCCTTCCTTCCTTCCTTCCTTCCTTCCTTCCTTCCTTCCTTCCTTCCTTCCTTCCCCTTCCTCCCCTTCTTGTTCCCATTCCTCTTTCCCTTCTCCTTCTGGCATTCTCCGGGAGCGCTTTGAGGGATCGGGCAAACATTTCCCCATTTAAAAACTTTCTGATGACATGGGAAAACTATGCAGCACGGAGCTTAATTGATGGAGGCCTTTTTTTCCCCCACTTTGAATTTCCATTGTACGAAACCAGAGGGAAATCTAAACGGCTTACTGTCGCTTTGAGGATGGGCTGAGGCAGCAAGAACTCCCCCCCCCCCCCCCCCCGAATCTTCTAGTTCCCTGGAAAAATCTCCAGATTTCTGGAGGAAAAAATCACAGAGGGAAAACATCTTCCTGAATAGATGATTCGCCCTCCCCACTGATTCCCGCTGCCCCCCTGCAGGCGTTGGAGGGAGGCGGCTGATAGTCTTCAGTGGCCAAAAAAAGGGGGGGGGGAGGGGAATCTTTTTTGGCAAGCAAATTTTATTAAAAGGCATCAGCTACAACTCATGAAATGTTATACCTTTCGGCTTAAAAAGGAGCTTCCAGACTCCTGGGGTTGTTGTTTTTTGCACACATACTGCAGGGGAACATTTTTTTGCAATAGGAAAAATATTAGGAAGGGGAAAAAAAAACCCCACTCAGCAGAGCCAAATGGTTGGTCTAAAGCAATGTTTATTCAACTTTTTCCTCCAAGCCCCTCCCCCCAATTTTAAAAATCATGAAGGACCCCAAAAGAGATTTTATTTGCTATATATAGTCATCAAAGTTGACGGTATTGACAATCAAAACGGATGCATTTGTAGAACATGTATTTCTTTGAGTCACGTAAAAATAAGAATATGAAACCCATTAGATATGAACAAATAAAATATTATTCATGGAGAGAAAAAACACTATATTTTAAATACATTAAAACAGTATCCCCAGAATCCTGGGGCTGAGGGGAGCCTGAAGGTTGCAAAGGCTTGAAAAAATTTTTTATGATTTAAATGTTGAGTTAATTTGGGGTGGGGGCTCCGTGGCCATGGCCTGTGGCCACAAAAGGAATTTATGGGGGGGGTCCATGGTGAAGAGAAATGCCAAGAACCACCACATTAAAACACAGTGAGAAAAGTGACCTTTTAAAAAAAAATAATAATAATATCTGGCAAAGAGTTTTGATTTTGTGGGGTCTCGGGACCCTCCGGGGCTCCTTGGGCCATGCTTTGAGAATCACTGCCTTGGAGAAAGGCTTTGCAAACTGCATGGGGAGCTGGGGACCCTCCCTGACAGACAAAGAGCGGTCCTGCCACCGTTGGGCCTGTCACTCAAGGCCATTTCCGATCACCGGATCGGAGCCTCTCAACTAAATAGATCCGCAGCTTGAAAAAACTTGCAAGGGTGGGCAGGATCTATGCAGGGCCCACAGTGGGGAGGGTTCTCGGGTGGGACATTCGCCGCCCCCCCCTTGGAAGAATTATTATTTATGAAACTTATTCGATGCAGAGAGCCTTGAAACCAAGAAGGTGCATCTTTGCTGCCTCCTTGAAATCCAGCCACACATTTTTGTGGGTCGGGGGGGGGGGGAATTGTGAACAGGACCAGCTAGGTAGGAAGAAAGTGATGGTTTGTACTGGTGGCCCCTTCCCTTCTTTGACTGGTGGCCTTACACGCCTGTCTCTCGTGTCCTGGTGCCCTTGCAGAGTGTGGCACACATCGGCGTGTGTGCCAGTGAGCAAGTGGGAACAGGCAGTCCCCGTAAATTATCTTAACTTATTATTAACTTAACTTATTATTAACTTAAATTATGTGAAAAGGAAACAAATTCAAGAGAACAGAGCAACAATAAGAATAACAGATGGAAGGGCCCTTAGAGGTCTTCTACTCCAGCCTCAGATAACAGTTTAGGAAATACATTTTCTTGCACCGCAGAGGGAGTTTTAGGATAGGTTATCTTGCATCGTTCCGATGGTCTTGTGGAGTTAAAGGAGTCTCCAGATCTGGCTTAATCCTTTTGGCATTTTTTGCTGCTGGCTGCAGAAGCTGTAAACCTTGCAGCTAGAAGCAGGCTACTCTGAACGAAACCAACTGAGAAAATAGTATGTGGGTGAAGGCAGCCACTTCACTGTGGCCAGTGCACTTTCCAGCAGTAGGAAGGAAAAATGTATTCAAAGCCTTGAAGCTGCAGTTTGTTAGTTGGAAAGCGGGGTACAGACTCCCTCTGACCTTTTTCCTACGTAGAGTAACTGGCTGTCGTTCTATATCAGAGGTTTAGTTTACTTTATTGTCCTTGCACATCGTACAGCAAAATTAAATGCCACCTTCAGTGTACATTATAAGTATAAAAATAAAACTCAAACATCTTTTGCATTCTGTACAGGATATTGCATTAATATTGCACTCTACAGCAGAATTCAGACGAGCTCCTGCCCTGGGATAGGTGCTGTTTTTCAGCCTATTTGTCCTTGTTTTTATTATTCTGTACTGTCTGCCAGATGGTCATAGTTCAAAAAAAAGGGGGTGCCTAGGATGAGATGGATCCAATGGTGGGATTCAATATTTTTTTTACTACCGGTTCTGTGGGAGTGGCGTGGTGGGCGTGGCAGGGGAAGGAGACTGTAAAATCTCCAGTCAGAGGTGAGATTGGCTGGTTCTCACTCAAAATTTCCGCTGCCAGTTCTCCACAACTGGTCAGAACCTGCTGCAGAACCACCTCTGGATGGATCTTGGAGAATGTTCTGAACTTTCTTCAAGCTCTTCCAAGGAGGAGAGAGGGCAACCCATGATCTTCTGGGCAAGGACGTTCACCCTCTGGAGTCCTTTCCTTTCGGCCACTGGGCAATTGGCAAACCAGTGCTGTGCTGACTAGGGAATTCTGGGAGTTGAAGTCCACGGGTCTTAAAAGGCCCCGCAGTTCCCCAACCTGCCCTACATTGTGGTAGGAAAGGAGCAAAGGTTTTGCTAGCCTTATATTTTTTTTAACCAAATCAACCCAGAGTCACACAGCACTTTCAGGATGAAAGACTCTATTCAGCTGTGCTCGGCTTCTAAGGATGAACTGATGGATATGCCAAATTTTATTTGTTTGTTTGATTGACTAATTTCTGTAGCCACCCATCTCAACCAGTGACCTACATCATTAAAAACAAGCTAGTCTCGCTTTAGCCATAAAAAAAAGCTGACTGGACCTCACTCTCATCTAGAACATAGAATAACGGAGTCGGAGGGGACATTGGAGGTCATCCAGTCCAACCCTCTGCTTGAGCAGAAGACCCATACTGTTCCAGACAAATAGCTGTCCAATCTTACTGAAAGCCTCCAGGGATGGAACACCTTCAACCACAGAAGGCAAGCTATTCCACTGAGTAATTGTTTTACCTGTCAGGAAATTCCTCCTTATTTCCAGGTTGAATCTCTCCTTGTTCAGTTGGCATCCATTATTCCTTGTCTGGCCTTCCGGTGCCTTGGAGAATAGCTTGACCCCTTCCTCCTCCTCTCTGGGGCAGCCCCTCAAATAGTGGAAGATGCTCTCCTGTCTCCCCTGGTCCTTCTCTTCACCAGACCAGCCAGGCCCAGTTCCTGCAACCGTTCCTCATATGTTTCATCCTCCAGCCCCGTCATCCTCCTGGTTGCTCTTCTCTGCCCTCTTTCCAGAATCTCAACCTCTTTTTTAATAGTGTGGTGACCAAAACTGGATGCAGGATTCCAAGCGTGGCCTTGCCGAGGCTTTATAAAGGGGTATTCACTCTCCGCGTGATCTTGATTCCGTCCCTCTGTTGACGGAGCCTAGGACTGCGTTGGCTTTTTTGGGGCTGCTGTCGTATACCTCGCAGCCCCACCCACCTCGCAGGGTTGTTGTTGTGGAGAAAATAAGAGGAGGGAATCCTTCCTGGGAGCAAAGCAGGTGAGAGGCAACCCAAACGGGAGAATCCGCAGAGAAAAAGCCGGAGAAAAGATCCGATTTGGCCTTCTGGTCCTTTCCCCTTTCTTGCTGCCCAAGAATCGAACCTTCTCCCTTCGCTTTTGGCCCTTGGCGACCTCCATGCCGTTTCAAGAGGGAAAGGAATTGCAGAGGGTGGCCT